TCTCTCTCTCTCTCTCTCTCTCTCTCTCTCTCTCTCTCTCTCTCTCTCTCTCACACACACACACACACAGCATTGAAAAAGGGCACTGAACCCATACTTCCCCAGTACTTTGCTCAGTCGAGTCACAGGCTGACGGCGAATCGTCGGCAGGCACCGCTTCTTTAAAAATCATAACTGTCTTAAATGTGTTGAAAGGGGTATAAATTTCATACTTTTCATTTTTCTCTCTCCCACAGTGAGATCTCAGAAGTCCACCAGCAGCGTCAGCAGCTGTGACAGTGAGGATGACCCTGTGGAGAAGCCTGTGAAGCGAGTCATCAAACCAGACTTCAACCTGTTGCTGAACAACAGCTTTGAGGTGAGGAATTGTTCTTTTGGTAATGTTAGTGGTGGTGATGTTGATGATGATGATGATGATGATGATGATGATGATGATGATGATGATGATGATGATGGGGAGTGCCGTTCTCAACGAAGACAGCCACAACCAATGGGAAAGCTCTGATGATGATAATTATACACACACAGACACACACTCACAGACAGACACACACACGCACGCACGCACACGCACACACACACACACACACACACACACACACACACACACACACACAAGCACACGCACTCACTACAATATATATACATCATAATTTTAAGTATAAGCTTCTATTGACAAAGGGCTTTTCCCCCACTTATTATGTCCCTGAGGAAGCTCCCATGTGAAACTTTGAACATGTTTTTATCTTCCCTTAATTTGTCGAAACTTTATCCAAGTCTTCACTTCTGTCTGTACTCTTCATTTGAATCAATGATGACAATGATGTCGTTCTCATTGCTGTTGCTGTTGTTTGCTGCTGGTGTTTTTGTTGTAAAAGTAGAGATAGAGAAACAGATAGACGGATAGTTAGGGTAGGGCAATACAGAGATACAGGGGACCAAGATTTAGAAACCGTTACGCAGTTATACATGTATAGACTGACTGACAGACAAAAGGGAATGGAAATTGGGAAACTGTATTCTGACACTCTCCTGCTGCTCATTTATATTATGCATGTGATTGTAAGCCTATGTGTGTGTGTGTGTGTGCGCGTGCGTGCGTGCAAGTGTGTGTGTGTGTGTGTGTGTGTGTGTGTGTGTGTGTGTGTGTGTGTGTGTGTACGCAAGTGGTGAAACACCAAACCGATGTGCCAGGATCTGGACAATAAAGATGTATCTTATCTTATCTTATCTTATCTTATCTTTCTTTCAGGAGTCATCTGAGGAGGAGGAGCACAGCGACCTCTCCTGCCAAGGATCTCCTTTGTCTCATTCCTCCCCTGTACACAGTGGCATGGCTGCTACCACCGCCAGCTCATGGCAAAGAGCAGGTAAGAATGAATTCCTCTATAACAATTGCTGAGTGCATTGACACAAGATGGTATGTATTTTTGAGGAACATGGTGGGGAATTTTCTTAATGCCCAATTTATAATGACTTAAGTTATGTCCCCTTTTCCCTGCTTAGCTCATTGTTATACCCACAGATTGAATTTATGTTGTAATAAACTGATTTTCACCCTTCCAGCATCTTTAGAAAGCTCTACTTCATCAGATTTGTGTGTCTGCACTGTATGTGGTAATTGTTTTTATTCAAATTTTCTCAGTTCTAAAATTTGCCTATGTCATTCATTCATTTATTATGGATTGCATTTGAAAATGCAATTGTGCAGCCTGAAGGAAGTAATAGTAAGCAGCTGTGTGCCTAACTTTTCTTGCACATTTCCGTCACTTACCTTTTCAGATTAGTTTGTATCGTGCTCATTCCTCTGATACCATGCCCACTTTATGTTTTTTGAGCAGGTGGTTGGAGGGGGCTACTGGCAAGTCCTACTTTTTTTTTACTTTCCTTCTGTTGTTTCTGTCTGTCTTTCTTACTTTTTCCAGTACTAAATGACCATTATTGTATCGATAAACTTCTCTTTACAAAAACAAACAAACAAACAATGCTTTCTGTGATACGTTTCCGCAGTGACGAGAGAGAACCTCATGAACGACTCTGGCCGACCGTCGCGGCTCCAGCGACGACACACCATCATGATCTGCGAATCACCACTGGAGGGAAAGGTAGCACACCAAGAGTTGCCTCCCCTAGAGGAGGAGGAGGACGAGCCGTCCCCCGTGAGGGAGAGCCACTGTCTTGTCGCTCCCCACGCATCTCAGAAACACGCAATCCTGGCCAGGACGGCCTCTGATAATGACCTCCTGGCCCAGGTGACCTTGAGGCACCCTCAAAGTCACGGAGGCCGAAGGTTGTCTCTGGATCATCGTAGGTCCCTGACCTCGCTGACCACTGGCCTCTGTGCAATACCAGAGCTGGAGGATAGTCCCGGGGCATCCGACTCGCCCCCTCCGGCCAGACCTAACTCTGCACACATCTTGAGGTCGTGGAGCCACGAACAGGCCCCGCCTCCAAATCCATCCCCACCCTGCAAGGGGCGGGCTCGAGCAGCGCTTGGCATGGGCATGACAGGCATGAAACCTGTGGGTGGTCCCTTCCAGCCTCTGTCTCAGCGTCAGTCTCAGCTGAAGTCAGGCTTTGTCCCCTCCAAACTGGCCAGCATGTCCTCTGGCTCTGCTCTCACATCATCAGTAGCCAGCGGTGCTGTTCCTTCCACTTCCTCTTCTTTTTTGTCTTCTCAGAAAATTGCTATACAATCCCAGTCCCAGCATGCTTCATTGCTTCCAGTCTCATCATCAACATCTGCATCTTCCACTTCTTCATCCTCATCCTCATCCATAACCTTGTGTCCAACAAAGCATGCAAACCTAGACTTGAGTGTTTCGTCCCAGTCTCCCGTTTTCTTCAAGAAGACGCGTGCCCTGCACAGCCAAAGTGCAGAGAACAAATCCCCATCCCCTCCCGGCTCTGTGGAGCAGGATCGTCATGTTGCTCGCTGGAGACTTCCAAAAGCCCGGGAGGAAAGACTTAGCAAGCAGAGACAGTCTCGGGAACTGTCGCACAGACCAATTGCAGAAGGAGAAGAGTCTTTTGACAACGCCCTCCCTCTGGAGCCTGAAGATACTTTTGTGTCTGAGGAAGAAATGCGTTCAAGACGTCTGTCGCTGGACAGTGGGGTCCCAATGTATTCTGGGACAAACAGCAGAGTGTCAGTGCCTGTGGGCGGTGAGGATACACGCAAGGTCACACGAAGACTGTCTTTAGGTATGAGAGGGAGGGAGCTCAGCGGCCCTTTGAGGCAGAGAACACCAGAGGAGGAGGAGAGAGTGAGTAGATGGAGAAGTCTTCAGGAAGACGACTTGGCTTCCAGGACAGCTCCACGGGGTAGCAGTGTGTACCTGCGTTCTGTGGAGCCCAGTCATCAAGACGACCCTCCTAGTCTAGAGGGTGCAAGCGCTGAACCAACCGAACAACGCAAGAAACTGGAGCCTCAGCCACGAAGGCTCATTAAAGGGATGACTCTTCCTAGTGAAGGGACTGATGTCCTTCAACAAAAGATGGCCAACGAGGAGGCCCGCTTCACTCGATGGCGGCGTCTGGAGGAGTCTGGTGGTATTGATGAGTGTGACAACTCAGCAAGTGCCGTGGGTAGCGATGCGGAATACGTAAGTGCTGCGCTTTCCTCTCGAGTGCAGTCTGCAGCCTCCTCTAACCCCGCTAGTTCTGGCACCAGTCTTAACTCCAGTCAACCCTCGGTAGAGGGTGTGGCTACAGGCATGTTGCCTTTATCGGTAAGTCTTAGCATGCTTTGCATGGGTGGCTGGAAAAACTCTTGTCGTATGGAAATGGAGGGCTGGTGGTCAAATCAACACTTGGAAGATAAGAGTTTTTTTTAAGTCTGGGATTTTTGCTTTTGGGCTTATACTATTTATTTTAAAGCTGTTTTGCCTGTCTTTGAGGTGGAGGTATTTTGATTTGTGCTTCTTTGCTATATTTTTCTCCTGTTATACCATCATAAGAAACATTTCATAGGTTCATGATAAGTGCTTCTGGTTATAAAGTTTGGTTGTTTTTTTTTCTCCCTCAGATTTTTTAGCCTCTTCTTCTTTTTAGCATTTATTTTAAGAGTGCTTCCAATGTCAGAATTTATGAGTATTCCTTGAAAAAATGTTCTTGGTTTCACAATTTTCCTTTCATACTTCAGGGCATGTTTATATCCTTCTCAGAATCTTTTTTCTTCTCAAGGATATCTTTGTGATCATCATCTTCCAGAAGATAATCAATGGTTTTTTCCAGTGAAGTTCCAAATGCTTCTCACAAAAAAATAAGGGTTACCACAAACCGTAATACTACAGCAGGGCGTTTTAAAATAATTTACCTTCTGGACGTTATGCCCCCTCTGACCTGTTTGTTCTGCTCTTGTTGTTTTCATTTACCTTTAGTTATTGTAAGATAATAATAAGCAACGAAGTGCAAGTGGAAGTAGGGAAGACATGCTCACTGGGAGTATTTAATTAATAACTGTCTGCATATTGGATTAAAAGTAGGATTTATAGTAAAGATGATCTCATTACATAGACTTTCTTGCAATTTCTCTCTATATTTACAAGTAGATCAGAATGTTTACAAAATGGCAGGCTCCAGACCACCCTGTCCTGTAACTTTTTTTTGTTAAAGTAAAATTGATTGTGAAAAGATGCCCACATGTCTAAAACAGTGTAACATTAATTCTCACAAGCAGAATTATTATTCTTTTTAATTTAGTGATATGTATTTTACAGCTTGCTTGGAATGTTTTAATTGCCTGCTATTGCGCACCCCTCTTTCCTTCGTTTTATTTGCTGCCCGCCCCGTTCCCCTCACAAACACTCCCACCCAACCGGAACACGTTCTCCACTCTCCTTGTCCACATTTCTTCCCAAAACAAGAACTGTGCTATTCTGAAGTATTTGAACACTTCAAGGCGCTTTATTATTTAGTTTTTCTTGTTTATGAGTTTTAGCTGATTGAAAAGGCTTTATATCGTAGGCATTGGTGGTGGGAGTTTTTTTCACAGATATTTTTGTATTTTTATCGATTAACATTATCTTCTTCCATGATGATGTTACGGTCTGATTCAATGTCCTATCGGTGCCTTCCATTTCTTTGTTGCTTTTCTAGGATTTTGCATACCTTTGTTTTATGGAGTTTATTTGTGTGGGTTTTGAGTTTTTAATTATTTTTTGTTTATTGAGATGATTCGTAGTATAGTTTTATCCACATAAAAGTATGAAGTGAGAATTAAGAACATAAAACTTTAAATTGTGAACACCAATGGTGATAATAAACTGTTCTTCAATTTCTTAAAAATTAACTTGAATGACATTGTGATAAAAAAAAACAGTGATCATTGTTGTGAATATGGTTGCAATTTTTTTTTTTAAAAGAGTTCTTCTGCATCAAATGCCTAACATATAGATTAGAAACCATTGATTTTGTCTAAAACAGCCTAATGTCACCCAGAATAAGGTACTCACATGATTGCTGTGTTATAAAATGTCATCATCTGATAGGGCCTCTCTATTGGACAGGTAACTTAATATTATGCTTATACCTGTAATACAAATTGTTTCTCTCTCAAGGGCAAATGAACAAGAGGGGGGGGGGGGGGGGGGGAGAAGATACTATTATATTGCTGTAATTCTAAAATTCTGTGGTAGGATCATGCTTCGAAAATCATGTTTATTAAACAATGTAGAAGTGCAACTTTGAAAATCATGTTTATTGAACAGTGTAGAAGTGCTGCAAATTCGAATATCATGTTTATTAAACAATGCAGAAGTGCAAATGCGAAAAATCATGTTTATTGAGCAGTGTAGAAGTGCGACTTAAGAGCTACAAACGTTACTGATAGATGATGTAATAGTTTGAGTGTCATTTCTGTCTTGAACCAAAATCAAATAAAATAGCTGATGAAAACATGGTAGTCTGCATGGTAGCCTGACGCTGTGGGGGGGGGGCACACCCTTTACAACAGTTTGGTTCATTCACGGTTTCTAATTTAGATTCAAATGAAAACTATAATGCTTAAATGAAACGTAGGTTTGTTCTTAAATTACGTGAAGCTTTGAGTGTTTGGTACTCTTTGTTGTTTTTATCCAGTTGAAAGAACATTGTCTTCTTCTCTTTTTTTTTTTTTTTTTTTTTGTTATTGTTATAGTACTTGCTGTTTTTGGAAAATTGAAAAATGTAGCCTCAATCATGAACTGATTTTTTTTAATGTTAAATTTTCATCCATTTATTCCTGTTCACTGCAGTGAACTTTATGTAAGAAAACATCAGTGATGACAAGGTTGAGAATTTCTGTGCGCAAGTTTTTTTCTCTATAAACTGTAATGGTTTTTCTCTCTCTGTCTCTCTCTCACTGTCTGTCTCTCTTTCTCTTCTCTCTCTCTCTCTCTCTCTCTCTCTTCTCTCTATTCTCTCTCTCTCTCTCTTCTCTCTCTCTCTCTCTTCTCTCTCTCTCTCTATGTCTTCTCTCTCTCTCTGTGTCCTCTCTCTCCCTCCCTCTCTCTCTCTCTCTCCCTCTCTCCCTCCCTCCCTCTCTCAGTGTTTATAACTACCATGTTCCCCTGTACCTCAGAAACGCTGGCAGAACCCTGTGGAGTGCCTGAGCTTAACACTAGAGGAGGTCACTCACATCCGCTCGGTACTGACCAAAGCTGAACTTGAGTCCCTGTTGTCACACCCGGATCTCTACCAGCAAGTGTCCAAAAACAAGGTATTTATAATATCCACTGGAGTGTATGTTTAGGGTACCACTTTTGGGGAAATCAAATCTGAATAAAAAGCAATGTTCCTTTATGGAATGACATTATTTAGACTTTCCTACAACTTAATGAAAAGGATTGTTGCTTTGTTCTAGAAAATTACAAATGAAAACAAGGAATATTCCATTGTCAGGAAAACTGAACCTCTCAGCAGCCCAGACCAAAATGTAAAGACTTATGTTATAGATGTTGTTTGCATAGTATAGTGTACAAGTAGACGTGAAACAAAAGCTAATGAATGAAATCATAACTACTGAAATATCTGTGAACTTGAGAATTTATGCAAATGCGGAACTTTTATACTTTTGTTCAAAGGTCTATTTGGCATGTTATGTTTGGAGAACTTCTTTACTTTTTATTTCCATGTTTATGAAACTTTTAACTTTTAATTAATTATATTATCGTAGTTTCCATGAATGTTTTCATACAAAGTTAATTTTTCAGCCATGATCACAGTGTCTTTTCTTATGTTTCAGTTGTGTTTCACGTGTAAGACAACTCGCTTTTCACTGTTTGGTGAGTGGGGAACCAAGTGCAAGTTCTGCAAGCGGACTGTGTGCTCAAAATGTCTTCGAAAAGTAAGCTAGATGTGTTTGTGATGTCATGAAATATGTGTGGTGCTTATGTTGTTTGTGCTAAATGAACATTTACACATTTCGCAGTTCATTTTTGTCAACTCGATGTTTGTTTAATTTCACTTGTTTCATTGTAGGCTACCCTTCATTGTAATGGCCTTCTTGACCTGTTCTGTGATGCGTGAAAGGTCCTTGCCTTACGCTAAATGACAGAATATGCAAATACAGTTTGGCACAAATAACTCAAACATATCAGAGATTGACAGATATGTTAGACACGTCCATAAATCAGGTTAAGAGATAATGAAAAATTAAAAACATATCTCTCGGGAATGACAAATTGTGTGAGCAATCTGTGAGTTTGAGTTTTCCATGTTCATGATTGTTATCTGTGCCCAACAGTACATCTTTAGGTCCAGTCTTGTTTCTCAGCTAGTTCTCACTTCTAATTATACGTCAGTATCAAGCTGCTATAAGAAAAATAGTTACCATATAATTATTAGTAAACATCTTTGTTACTGTTCTTGAAAAACAATCCTTCAGTGCTGGACTTGATTTTTTCCCCCAGATGAACGTGCCAACCGATCACTTCCGCAACATCCCCGTGTACACCCTTAGCCCTGCTCCACTCACACCTCAGATGCAGGAGTTTATACAGAACTTCATCAAGTGAGTTTTTTCATTGTTCTTGAAAGAAAAACATAGCTCAAACCGTTTCATTTACATGGCAATCAGTATGTCAATTTTTAAAGGATTTGACCAATTTTATAGCTTGAAATTATATTTATACCCATACATTAAGAAATAATTTTCTTAGGAAAGGAATTTCTCAAAGATGAGGTTAATCATGATTGCGTAAGAAAGTTTTTCTCTGCTTTGGACTCCATGTCTCTTAAAATGACGATTAAACATCAGGCTTCTGGACACCTAAATTGTCTATCTGTAAGCATTATTTGATGTTATTGTTTGTCTGGACATAATTTATTTCTCTTGTGGCCAAATTTCATTTCTGTATATGGGCTAGGAAAAGTGTCAATGCTCTCCTTTTAAAGCCCATTTTGTGGATGGTTGAAGGGTGCCCCTGGTAGGTCCTACTTTTTTACTCTCCCTCTGTTGTTTTTGTTTGTCTATCTACTATCTAGCTTTTTTTCTTTCTTGAAGTGGCCAGTGTTTTTTCAAAGTGCTTCTCACGACTCAAAATAGCCTAAATGAACTACTCATGTTTTTTCTAATTACTAGCCCTACAAGGATTTCTCTTTGAACATGGTCTCTGAACGTCCCTTCCCCAGAACTGCTCCCCCCTGCTCAGTTCCCCCGACCCGTGATGTCAGCCCGTCAAGGGACTCGGTGTTGTCGAGGCTCTCCGCAGAAGCACAACAGTCTCAAGATTCCTCTGGTGGAGAAGCATCGTCAGAGCCCTCGTCTGCCTCCCGGGACGTCCTGGGCAGGACCAAAACTCTCCAAAGATCTCAGTCAGCCCTCGTACCTGGCCAGAAGTCCCTGGGCAGCCTGTCGGCCCGGGCGTCCATCAAAGGTCCCGTTATGGCCATCTGCTGCGACTGTAAGGGCATGGTGATGGAGATCATCCGCGCATCACGGGCCTCGCTAGCCATGCTCTCTGCCGCGGGGTCCTCAGCAAACTCGTCTCTCTCCACCCCTGCCACCTCATCTCTGTCCTCTACTACCCAGTCCTGGTTTTAAGACAACACCTGATTTACATCCTACACATATACTCATCGGCAGGCATGCACACACACGCACACACACACACACATACTCACAGTAACATACAAACACATGCTCAAACAAACATGAACATAGGTGGTCCTTCCCCCCCCCCCCCCACCCCAAACCTGCTCCACATGGTGTGGTCTCTCATCAGGCCCACTTCTGCCCAGTATCTTTGGTGTACTATTTGTTTACGCCTTGCATTGCATCGTTTATAGTGCATAGTCATGCTGTATTGATACTGATTTGTTTCTATTCTCTTGTCAACACACTGAATGAAAAAAAAAGTTATATAAAGAACCCCTTCCCCCTTTCTTTTGTAGTACAATACTATATACATATATGTTAAACTGAATCTCAATATATACAACATCTGAACAATTAGGTCATGACAATTTTTTTATTTTATTAAGATCACATTTTCCTTTAAATGTCATTGTTCTTCGTTGCAGAAACTTTGGAGTTAGATCATCAGTTTATTTAAGAAACGTTAATTTTAAGGAAGGTTTGGAGTTGTATACTTGGAACATACTTGTCAAGTGATCTGATCCATCATGCCATGTTGTGATTACGTATTCGCATATCAATGTCAATGTAAAAGTTTGGGAAAATTTGTTCATGACTGAGTTGATTTCCAAGGGTCCAACTATATAATTAACAGGTGTGTCTTTTTGTTTAAGAATCTTCCTGTACCGTGGCAGGTTCAGTTTCAGGGTGCAGAATGGCTGATTGATGTTGTACACTCTCATTTCTTCACAGTAATCTAGATCTGAAATACACTGAGCCCAGCTTTTTTAAAATAAGAATGATTATTTTTGGTGCCCCAGCCTTCAGTTATGTGAATTGCATAGTGTCTGTGTGGTCTACCTTTGAATATATGCATCTGCAGTGTATTATTTTAGATTCTAGTAAAGCTTTGATATAATTTGATTCTCAATTTAGATTTAGAGGTTGTTTAGTTGGATTTTCTTTTCTCTGTTAAGGATGTTTAGTAATATAATCAGAATAAAAATGTTTTCCACTTAAGCACAGGAAGATATGTACCAGTATCAGGCAAGTTATTCCTGAATATACATAACTAGTTTCTAGTTTCCTAACACTGGGGACTTGCCTTTCAGAACTGCATGGGACATACCTTGATTTAAAAAATAATATACAATACAGTGCATTATTGTACAAAGTCCAGGCAAGTGATAAATTTATCTCAGATTTGCATCGGTTTAAACTGATTTGACTCTAGATATGTCTAGTATTTATATAAATTTTAGAGCTAATTAGTTTCTCGAATCATAACATATTGCTTGGTCAGTTATAACGTTTAGATTAGGTCTCAATTATGTTGTTTCATCACAATGGTCTTTGATAAACAATCTGACATGGCTCTTCTGCTTGCAACGAGCCTCCCCCTCATACTTCCGTCTTTTGCTTTCTGTTTTTTAAAAAGCTCTTTTTGTAACAAAGAGGTTAGAGATTGTAAATATCGACCTGCTGCTGGGCGGGGCCTTCAGAGTTTCTCATGACCTGTCTGCAGTGTTCTTTTGGTAGATGTTTCAGCCGTCAGTTCAGTTGTGACTGCAAGAAGTTTCAAGAACAGAAAGGTGAAAAGTGTTTAGATCCACAGAAGTTGACATGAAAATCCCATAGCATTCACGCTGTATGTAGTTAGTTAAGGACTGAGCTAAGGTTTGAGGTTGGTTGAAACTCTTTTGTTATGTACATTTTCTGACTACCCATTTTCTGTCCTTGTTCTGTAGCTTTTTTACATGCTCCTATTGTTCCTTTGATACTCTCCGACATTTCCACTCTTAGACTTGTTCGTGTCTGTCTTTCAAACTGCATGATGATTATTCCGCACATGTTGAAGCAACAAACTTTAAATATTTTTTTTTCCCATTAAGTCACGGGTGATACAAATATGTACATAACTTGAAGAACAATGAATATTTACATGTTTGAACAATTGTTTTGTGTACAGAAGTTTCATAAAAGTATATATATAAAGATATTTCTTAACCTTTGCCACTGAACCTCTTCTTGAGATGATGCACACATGTGGTATCAGGTCATTTTCCCCCTAGCCCACTAGCATATGTGTAGAGTATGAAGTCGTTATTTCCAGTGTAGAGTTTCATGCCGAATCAGGCTAAGAACTTGGGAGATTAGCATTTGATCAATAATCTAGTTCTATCATGGTACTGGTATTAAGAACGTTTACGGTTTCCCCTAGAGTACAATGATCCTTTTGTTTTGTGGATAAATTGCTTGCATTTACTAGGTTGGTTTTAAAAGTTCGTTTTTTTCTAATCTCTCATTCCATTTCAGGAATGGGAGTATTGTAAACGAAGTTTATATCTACTATAATCTGCATTTGTTTAGCTCGAGAAAGTTTACAGAGAATCAGTTGCTTTAACATTGACAGTGACTGACCGGAAAAAGAACTGGTCAAGGAAATATTATGAATTTGATATACATGTACAGTGGAAACCATATATATATAACAGGCCCGGTAATAACGGGGAACCAGTAATAACAGGAATTTTTAAAATCCAGTTTTTTTTCTACTCTTTGTCTCTATTTAAAATTATCGGCAATAACAGGGCATCATGAGAGCATCGGTTATAGCAGGGACAAAGGCTCATTAAACAATGTGTAAAAAGTGAGAGAGACAGAGACAGAGAGTAACGCAGTGATTGAGCAAGGGAGAGAGGGCTGCTGTGTGCTGTAGACTTCGGTCTTCTAGCCCTTAGCTTAGCTACACGCACGCGTAAATTGTCATGCGTAGGCCTGCCAATGGTCAAAACCCCTGTTCGTGGGTACTTGTGGCAAGGGAAACAAGACACGAATAAATACAGCTGGATTAGTCAACAAATTCTCACTTCCCTTGCATTTGTGATTTAACAGGGATCGGATATAACAGGACTTTTTGTCTGGTCCCACCATCCCTGTTATATCAGGTTTCCACTGTAGCAAAGTCATGATCCTGCAGTGATAGTTAAATTTATCGAGTGCTTTGCTTAAAAAAACAACCCAACCCAACTACTTTTTGTGATAGATTGCCTCGCTTATTCTTTTTTAAGTAAATTATGATGAGATCTTGAACATTTGAAAATATAATCTGTCAGTAGAATTTGCTCCTTAGTGCTTTTGGCCGAATCTAAATGTCGTCCTTCCTCAATGAATTGTCCTCTACCTCACACTCACCCAGTAAAAATAATAGAATCGTTTGTTTACGTTTTAGTTTTGACAGTAGTATTCATGGGAACTACAGCCTTCTTGGTAATTGATTCTTAGTACAGCCATGCATTCAGAAGTGATAGTTTATGGAAATTTGAAAAGTGCTGTTATCACATTTGTTTTTTAGGGTTTTTTTGCAAGATTTTCCTATCCGTATGTCATGCTTTACTATCGTATCCATATGACTTGGGGAACTCTGTGCCTCCACTTTCCAAAGAGGAAATTTACTCGTTAATCTGATCCGTATGCTTTGCATAACAGTCTGTCAAAATAATTTTTGGAGAAATGCTGAAAGTTTCAAAGAGATCTTCATACTAGAACTTACTAGAAGTATTCTAAAATGTGAAGAATACAACCCCGGGGGTACAAAATGACCCCAGGGTGTACAGATAGAGTTAAGATTTTCAAAAAGTGTGCACTGACATTAGTGACATGCTAGTTTTTGCTCATGTACGTACATTTGTAGAGCTTTTTCAACCATGAGTGTTTTTTACTTGGCTAAAGCAGACAGAGTCAAATTCAAGAGTAGCTGTAAATCTTGGCCTTTTTAAGATTTTATCCCTTTTTGACCTCTACTGGCTGGCAGTTCAAGAATTGCTCTTTTCTGCTGTATTCCAACATTTACTGATTGTTCTGAAATCACTGAGTCTCTATATTGATGCATTTGATAATAAACAGAAGTCAAGTGTTGGGATTCGCCTTTTTTAAAGCAAACAGCGTGTTACAAAACATTGATGAAGCAAACAGATATGATTTTTGAGAAGAGACAAATTTTATACGTGTATATCATTATGTCTGACAACTCCCAATATTGACATTTTTTATGTGAATATCACTTTACTTGAAAGAGAATCTGTCAAAAATAACACTCCTCATAAAATGTCTATGATGATGGAACCTTGTGGCTTACACGTGGATAGATGTCATTGGTGGGATTGTTGTTGTTGGCAATGGAGTAAAGAATGTGGCAAACCGACTCATGGTTCGTTTTTAATCAGGTCTCAGGGTTAAGTCACAACTAGATATGTCACGCTTTCTTGGAGAGCATGCCTCTTTTGATCTTTGTTCTCCAGTTATGAAGGTCATGGGTGCCCTTTTATTGAAAAATCTTTGTCATAATCTTGATTGCATGCTGATACATGTACCAAAACTTCTCGTTTTGCTATTGTTTTGTGTATTCTGAAATTATTTTTCCCTTGATTAACTAAGTAAGAGTAAAAGTAGAAACAAATTTGTTTCTGTTTTATTGTCTAAATAATGCTCAACACACAGAATGTATGGTGTGCTGGAAAAAGTTCTTTTTCAAATTTGTGTTTGTCATAAAGTAGAAAGCAGTAAGACTCTTTGTAGGCTCATCAGATTCATTAAAATTTCAAAAGTATCGCAATGCAGATTATACATTTTTACTCGTTGGGTAATGTTCAGAACTCCTGTTGAGCTCGAAACAGGCGATTTAATTCTTCAGGGAGGAAGCTATTTCTCATGGAGGAAAGAATTATTAGATAAACTTTAGAATACTGTGGAAAGTGACTGATTATAATCAGATGTTTAGGAAACGACTTTGTTTGGGTGTCATTGTGTAATCTGTGTGCTCTTGTGAATAACAGTGCTAGCAACCAGACTGGCAAGTCTTATTTCACAGCTCAGCTGTGAGTCTCTCTCTCCACCCTCAACACATCTGGTCTCTGTGCCTTTGAAGGTATCTATTTTAGTCTTGAAAGAGCATTTAACTCTCAAAATCCTAAAAGGAGTCACCAAGATGATCAATAATCTGGCCTACACAATGAGGTCAGTCTTTGCTTTTCTACATGAAGACTACGGGGGGGGGGGGGGGGGAGAAGGATGGTAGTCACAAACTAAAAATTGTGAGGGTACCAATTTTGAACGCTTGTTGACTCATAACTGTTTTTCTGTTCAAAATCAAATGTTGGCTGATTAGTGGTGTTAGATTTCCCTTTCAACAACACTGAACAATCAACCACCTGTCAAACGAATAATGAAGTTATGAGTCCGCAAGCTTTTAAAATTGGCACCCTCATAATTTCCAGTTTGT